AAGCTTGTAAACACACCCCAAGGGGGGGAGCTCTCAAACACTTCTCTAGAGCTCCCTTCCCTTCTCTCCCTCAAATTCTCTTAGTTTCTCTTTCTAGTTTTCAATTGTTATAATGAAATCTTTGTGCTGAAATTTTCCTTTAAGTCTTTCCAAGTTCTACTTTAATTTTCATTGTTATGTAAATTCTTTTCTTTAGTTTCAAGTTTGATTAGTTTCCAAGTTTCAATTATGGTTTTTGTTCTTATTCATTATGCTTATAAGTTAATATGCTAGTTTGAATGATTGATCACCATTTAGGCTTGCATGTTAGCTATCTTGGTTTGAATTAAGAGTAGACACCATTTAGGCCCGTTACCCACCACCAATTCTCCCCTTTACAACTTGCCTTTGGGAGACAACCCAATATATCACATTTAAGGGTATTTGGTTGTGCAGTTTATGTGCCAATTGCACCCCCACAACGCACTAAAATGGGTCCTCAACGTCGATTGGGAATTTACATTGGTTTTGATTCACCAACTATCATTCGTTATCTCGAACCTATGACAGGAGATACTTTTACAGCACGTTTTGCGGACTGTCACTATGATGAGACATTCTTCCCGCCGTTAGGGAGAAAATACCGTTCCTGAAGAACGGCGAGAATTGGGTTGGAACATATCCATTATGTCTCATCTTGACCCTCGTACAACTCAAAGTGAAAATGAAGTACGAAAAATTGTCCACCTTCAGCAAATTGCTAATCAAATGCCAGATGCATTCACTGATACAGGAAAAGTGACAAAATCACATATACCTGCAGCAAACACACCAGCAAGGATTGATATCCCAATCGGATTAACCAATGTTGCAGCAAATGAATCATCTACTGCACGCCTGAAGCGAGGTAGACCCATTGGTTCCAAGGACTCAACTCCTAGAAAGCGAAAATCGAAAGTATATCCCAATCCCAATGGAAACGCTAATGAAGATATTATTGGGAAAGAGATTCACCTTGAATCTACAATTCATCCGGAGAATGAAAGTGTCATTGAAAAGACACAAGCCACTGAAGAGGAAAAGATACCTAATACAGAAATTTCTGTAAATTTCGCATGCAATGATGAATTATGGGACCGTAGTGAAATGGTTATCGATGATAGTTTCTCTTTCGCAGTAGCTGCTGAGATTATAAAAGGTTATGAAGATATTGAACCACGATCTGTTGATGAATGTAAAGGAAGGCCTGATTGGCCAAAGTGGAAAGACGCAATCCAAGTTGAGTTAAATTCCTTGGAAAAACGTGGTGTATTTGGACCTGTGGTTCAAACACCACAAGGTGTAAAACCTGTGGGATATAAATGGGTGTTCACAAGAAAGCGTAATGAGAAAAATGAGATTGCAAGGTATAAGGCACGACTCGTTGCGCAAGGTTTCTCTCAAAGGCCTGGGATTGATTATGAAGAAACATATTCTCCTGTTATGGATGCAATTACGTTCCGTTATTTAATAAGTCTTGCAGTTTCAGAAAAACTTGACATGCGTCTTATGGACGTTGTTACTGCATACTTGTATGGGGAGTTAGATGCTAATATTTATATGAAAGTCCCAGAAGGACTCAAGTTGGCAGAATCAAACACTAAATCACGGAACATGTATTCCATTAAGTTGAGACGTTCTCTATATGGGTTGAAACAATCCGGACGAATGTGGTATAACCGTCTTAGTGAATATTTGATCAAGGAAGGCTACATTAATGATCCCATATGCCCTTGTGTTTTTATAAAGAAATCAAATTCTGGATTTGCAATCGTAGCAGTGTATGTTGATGACATGAACTTAATTGGAACTCCTCAAGAGATCATTAAAACTGCTGAATATTTAAAGGGTGAATTTGAGATGAAAGACCTTGGAAAAACTAAATATTGTCTGGGCTTGCAGATCGAGCATCATCCCAATGGTATTCTTGTCCATCAATCAGCTTACACTGAAAAAATCTTGAAGCGATTTTATATGGATAATGCCCACCCGTTGAGTACTCCAATGGTAGTTCGTTCATTAGACACAAATAAAGATCCATTCCGTCCTAAAGAGGATGATGAAATGATACTTGGTCCAGAAGTTCCATATCTTAGTGCAATAGGTGCTTTATTATATTTAGCCCAATGTACTAGGCCAGATATTGCATTCTCAGTAAATTTATTAGCCAGGTATAGCTCGGCTCCAACACGTAGACACTGGAATGGTATAAAGCATATCTTGCGCTACCTTCGTGGAACAACTGATATGGGCTTGTTTTATTCGTACGAACCTTCCAACGGTTCAAATCTTGTTGGATACGCGGATTCTGGGTATCTCTCCGATCCACATAAGGGTCGCTCCCAAACTGGTTATGTGTTTACTTGTGGAAATACAGCAATCTCATGGCGATCTACAAAACAAACTTTGGTTGCTACCTCTTCTAATCATGCAGAAATTCTTGCGCTCCATGAGGCCAGTAGAGAATGTGTTTGGTTAAGATCCCTAGTTCATCATATTCGGAAAACATGTGATCTTTCTTCAACAACAAAAGCCCCGACAATCATGTATGAAGACAATGCTGCTTGTATAGCTCAAATTAAAGAAGGGTTTATCAAGGGTGACAGAACCAAACATATACCACCAAAGTTCTTCTACCCACATGAGCTTCAGAAGAATCAAGAGATTGAAGTCAAACAAATTCGCTCCCAAGATAACCTGGCAGACCTCTTCACCAAAGCTCTTCCGAAGTCTATATTTCAGAAGTTGGTATATGGTATAGGAATGCGACGACTTTACAAGCAATCAGATTGTTGAAGATCAGGGGGAGAAATCAATCGCGGAAACTCCTCAGTTTTACTACATTGGATGTATGTGCAATGTACTCTTTTTTCCTTCGATCAGGTTTTTATCCCATGTGGTTTTTCCTGACAAGGTTTTTAATGAGGCAACATTTAGCACGTCCAACATGATATCATTGTCTGGTGGACATCCAAGGGGGAGTGTTATAAATCCATACGTTATGGGTTTATAGGTTATGGATGCCCACAATAATATCCATCATTATATACATGTAACCTACCAATGTATTTGTACTCTACCAACCAATGTATTTGTAACCTATCAATTATGGGTGGTAGGTGATTCAGGTATCTCTGCTCCTATAAATAGTGGCACCAAATATGAATGAAAGACAAGTTGATTTGAGCAAATTATACTGTCTCTTTCTTTCTCTTATTTCTCCCTACATATTCTCTAGTTTTATAACAAAGAAAGGGTTGTAGGTGATTTAAAATGAATTTTATGGGTTTAAGCTCAATTTACTATAAATTATATGAATAAAGGCAACATCTGAGGATCCAACCAATAGCGGACCTAGAAATTTTGATAGGGGTAAGCTAGGGTCGGGTCCTGTCATAAGTTATTTTTTTTTATTTTAAAAAAATTTAAATAACAAGGGCAGCAGCAGTTCCACTGCTGCCTGATAACTCCCTCCCCCAAATGTGTTTTAACTCAATTCAACCTTCATCAATTCGACGGAATTCTCTCTCTCTCTCTCTCTCTCTCTCTCTCTCTCTCTCTCTCTCTCTCCACTTTGTCTTGTACAAATACAGACGACCGAATTGGTAAAACTAACTGAAGAAACTTCGACATCAGCAACAGCAGAAAATACGTCCTCTAATAATAATCGTTTTCTCTGTGCTGTTTAAAGTTATTTAGATAGAGTTCTCTGTTGTAATTATTTACCCACTTTTTTCTCTTTCAATGGTGTTTCTTGGAAAATAAAAAAATCCTTCTTGTTTAAGGTTGCTAGTTTTTGACAATATAGAAAGAGGGAGCTTGAATATTGGAGGACAAGGCTACAAATAGCCATTGGTGTGGTGGCTGCATTGGTATAATAATTTATAAGCAAGACATATTAATCTTAACTAGTACAAACAATTATGTGCCTATTTCGAAGTCATAATAATCTTAACATGCACATTTTTTTTTATATGCTCTGGAAGGGAAAGTCCTTGTTAAGATGATTTACAAATGGTAAACTAGTTTTGATTTTACATAGTCTTTTTGTCTAATAATATTTGTAAGCTTTTACACGTTGACCCCCTGAAAGAAAATTCCTAGATCCACCACTGCTGGATGAAATATGATTACTTTCTTCTTCCAACTAAAATTGAATATTTACCTTGTTTTCCTTGAATTTTGTTTCCATATATAATACTTCCTTCACGAAGGAGAAAACAGTCAAAGCTTGGAGTCGGAATACAAACCTTTATTACACGAGAGAAAGATAAGTGTTTCCAGTTACTCTATATTTCAAAGTGAGTAATTGAAAACTCATAGCGATTCAGGCAAGAACGCTGTAATGTTTTTTTTTTTTTTTTCCTTTTTGAGCTCTGTAAAGAAAATATATATTTAAAATAAATAAATGGGAAGTAATTTGACACCGAAGAAATCTGTGAACTATATATTGATTGGAGGAGATACCAAAACATAAATGATTCCATTCTTATTAATTAATGGTAATTAATTTATTGTTACATCAGCAAACTAAAAAGGAAAAAGAAAAACCAAAATAAACATAGAAGCCACCAGCTACTAGGTTAGGGCTAAGGCTAGGGCTAGGGCTAGGGCTAGGGCTAGGGCTAAGGCTAGGGATATAGAAGCTATTTCAATGCGAAAGGCATGGGACAGAAGGCATAGAGAAGGATGAGGTGCCATGGGCATTGTCGCAGTAAGCATAAGACCTCTTGTTTGGAAGATCCGATTTTATGCTCACGTTGTCTATCACAATGTTTGTGCATCCGCCCCCTGCGCAGGCCAAAGTTATGGCTTTCTCATCAGTGCAAGTTCCGTTTATATTTCGGTATGTCACGTCGCTAACTTGTACCGACTGCACAATCCAAATTACACAATTATAATCACTCTAATTAGTTACAAATCATATCACATTGCTCTATTTAGAGAATCAATTTATTATGTTATTTTATTTCACCTTGCTTATGTCCATTGCTGAAGTAGGTTTAGCGAAATAGTGCTGGTCTATTATGATAGGATTTTTGGTGTCTTCAAATGTGATCCCCTCGAAAGTGATCTTCCTAGCATATCCCGAACCGCCCTTCATTCAATTCGTACAAAAATCACATTAGTTACAAAATCAATTAAGTTACTCTCGCATTCAATTCAATTTGATACGCATGTCTCACTTACTTCCCATGTCTTGATTCTCACTCCATTTGTTGTCCCCTTGAAGCTGCAATTGCTCACTTGCACCTCTTCCACTTGACTGTATTCTCCATGTTGACCTAGACTTCCAATACTACATACATATATACACACACATACAAATCAGTTAATTAATTAATTAATTAATAACTAAGCCATTTTCATGTAATTAAAATGAATGAATGATTACCTAATACCATGGCCTGGTCCGCATTTAATGTCCCTAATCTTGATATAAGATGAACCGCTATTGATGGCAATACAATCATCACCTATATATATATATATAGCAAAACAAATAGTGAACGAATTTGATTAAATAATAATTTACACCAATACCATCATAAATTAAAATTAATTAAGAAAAGGTTTACCATATATAATTACCAGTTGCTATATGAGAAGATTGAATTGTGACTCGGGTTGATTCGGAAATATCAATTCCATCTGTGTTTGGACTGTCTTTAGGAGCCCAAATTAAGAGACCGAAAACTCGGGAGTCATTGCAGCTACAAATGCTTATATGATTTTTAGGGCTATTAAAAATTGCCAGACGACTCAATTGGAAGCCATGACATTTGTTGAAATGAAGAGACTGCACCACCATGCATTAATTAATAAATACTCATCCTAAGTAACAGTTTCAACTTCAATTTTAGTTGACAATAAAATAATTTACGGTTCGGATCATTGACATACAGTTGGTCTCTGGCAGCCCTTGCTACCGCAAGCTTTCCACCAAACAGCGCCGTTTCCATCAATTCGACCTCCTCCATTGACCGATAGACCTTGTACATTCGAAAAATGAATCCACATCTCCTTGTTTGTCCATGAACCAATGTTATTCGGTGCAACAATACTCCCTTGTATCTGCAATATAGGCATCAATTATTTTTTTAGTTTTTTTAGTTAATGTGAATTATGGACAGTTAATGTGAATTATCGACATTTGTTTACCTGGAAATTTACTTTGCTAGCCCTGCAAGGCCCTTCAAACGCCACAGCATTTAACAAGAATCTTTTTCCCTTTGGTACCAGCAGGGTAAGGGTGCCTTGAGTTGATGATGCACACATAGCTCCCCATGCCTTGAGGAAGGCCTTTGTATCATCTACTTGGCCATTCCCAACAGCACCATAATCTACCACATTGAAAGTATTTGTTTTTGCTTCCCATGCTTCCAGGAAGGCCTGCTTTCAGTTGCACAATCAAGAAGAAAAAAATTCATTAGAGAAAGAAAATTCAATGGGAAAAAATGAGAGAGAGAGAGAGAGAGAGAGAGAAAAAAAAAAAGTAGAACTGTGTACTTGTGGATCATATTCTTCAGTTTGGGCATTCACACTATTGAATGAATCTCTTGTTGTTGCTCCAGTCTCCCATCCTTCTGGGAAGACCTCCTTTTAGTTGCACAAACATAAAATTAAAAAGAAATGCAAATTAGATCAATGGGGAAAAAAAAAAGCAAAACAAAAATAATAAATAAATAAAAGAGGATGAAGAAATAGTGTAAATATACTTGAGAAAAACCCTCATCATAAGTTTGAGTGTTGTGATGAACAGCACCATAATCAAACAAATCGAAATCATTTGGCACGACTCTTCTAGCACTACATGAGCTGTTATGTAAAGCAATTAGCCAAAGAGTTAGGACCAAAACGGTAGCGGTAAGCGGGACCTCCATTTCTAATGGGTTTAGGGTTTAGATCGAGAGAGAAAGAAAGGCAAGGCTTTGGAGCTCTAGCAAAAACTCAGATCACAGTGAAATGTTGGTGGAATGGGAGCTATATATATAATGTGTATAGTGCATGGATGCATGTGATCAAAACAACGAAAAGTAGAAAGAAAGAAAAAAATCAATCAATCAATCAATCAATTGAGAATTCAAATTCTTTCCTCTCTTTTTTGTTCTTGTTTCTTTCTTTCGTCAACCTTAACCGAAATACTTCTTCTAATCAATCAAATTTTCCAAATTTTCCATGTTGAAGGTAGAATTGCATCTCACTAAAAAAAAAAGAAAAAGAAGGTGCAGTAGTCATGTTTTTTAAGTTACAAAACTGATTTTCGTGACATTAGAGGATTGGTCAATGACTTTAATTGCTCCTTACCATTATTGAGGAAGATTTTTACCAAATAATAAAAATATTAGAATTGTAATATATAAATATTTGACTTCCAATACGTATCTTACTTTTCAATAAAATATTTATTTCCCAGTATGTTTTCATCTTCCAAAGCCATCTTATCTTCTAACCCCCTGCCAAGCCACTCTTTCTCATCTCCCTCCACTCCGCAATCACTTTAGTTCCACCCCCAGCTTTTTTGTTGATGTTTAAAGAAGAGAAGAGTAGTAGTTTTTTGTTCTTCTTATCGTCTACATGGATTTTACGAAGCTTTTTTCGGCTCAAAACTTACATCCATTAGATCTTCTGTATTGACTTGTGAATTTGTTTTTTCTTACATCAACTATATCAGTGATGTCTTTTTTTAGGTTTTGAATTTTGACAAAACTCTGCTGAAGAACAAACCGATGCAAAATGATATAGAATGGCAGGGATGTTGCCTTAGCAAGGAAATACAGATGTTTTAGCAGATGTTGTATAATGTGTATTTATTAATGTTTTATTGGAATATGAAAAGGAATTTCAAGTTTGAATTATTTTTTGAAAAATAAAATAAGATGGTCTGAGACTCTGATGGGCATTTTCCGTACATAAGCAAGCAACCCTACGAAAGTTCAACATTATGGCAATGATTATAGAAGCGTTGATTTATAAAACGTGAAACTAGATGAGCTCCAAATATTATGGCAATGATTTATTTTTAATTAATTAAATGCATATTCTATTCTATGTTTAGTTGTTGGAAAATTAATTTACTTTATTGATGATTGATGATTACCAGAATTTATGGTTTATTGATTCTGTAGTGGAATACATTTATTGGCAATGTTTTTGTTTTAGTCAACCATTTGTCGTTGCATAATGCATTAAAAGGAAGTGTACCAGAAAATGGCAAATCTTCAATCACATTTATTATCCAAATTAGCCATAGTTTTTGTTTTTTTTTTTTAAAACGACCGAATTAGAAATTGCAAAAATTGTATACACTGAAAAAATAATGCTACTCTTATCATATTTGTATATCACATTCTCGTACCAACTTATGTGGCAGATGAGGTGGACAACCACATCAATTAAAATTAATTTAACATTTTCTTTTCTTTTATGATTTATTGACACTTTTTAATTGATATGATTGTCCACTTCATGTGCCACATAAGGTGATATGAGAATGTGGTATACAAATGTGGTAAGAATAACATTACTAATACCAAAATAAATAAATAAATTGTAAAAATGTCTGTGATAAGCCAGTCAGCTCCATTTTTTTTATTATAATAACAACAACTAGCTTGACTGATGTTATGGATCTAACTTCTAATTTGGGTTGACTCGTTTGTTTTATGAGTTCTTTTTAGACCCAGCTAGATAAATAAATATAGCAAGAATTCTATAGTGAGAGCCTTATTTATGGCCCTTAGGTGAGGCTCTATCTCTTAACCGTTGGATCAAATTGGTTAGATGTTGGATCAAATTGGTTAGCTTGATTCAACGGTTAAGATATATGACCTCACCTAAGGGCCATATATAAGGCCCCCACTATAGAATGACTCCTAAGTATAGTGATATTTTGCATATGTCGATTAGGCCAGTTGGCCATGACAGCGAGTATGCACTTTTGCACCCAAGTTTAAATTCCCCTCCTCATAAATTAGATTATTTTAGAGTATTTTAGACTATAACTTGTATATAAAAAAATGTAGTGATATTTATATGGCTTATTTACTGTTTCACCCCTTAGAACTCGAGTTCGCTCTCACTTAACCACCCGAAACTCAAATTTCCTCACTTTACCCCCCATTCTCCCATTCCATCTCAAATGTTACTTTAGCTTCTTATCTTCTCTCTCTTCTCTCTCTCTCTCTCTCCCTCTGCCTTTTTCTTCTCTCCCCTCCCCTCGCCAAACCCAACCCTCACCCTAGACCTAACCCTCCATGAAATTACTCAACACACCCAAACCACTACCACTTGAAATTTTTTTAAAAAATCTCCTCGACAGCCACTCCCCATCTTCTCTCCGCAGAGAGAGTGAGAGTAAGAGAAAGAGGCACAGAGAAGAAAGAATATGGGAGGGGGTGGGGTGCGATGGGGGTTAGGGAAGGGAGAGAAGAGAGAGGCGGAGGGGTAGGTTATGATGTAGGTGCGCTGGGGATTGGGTATGGGGAGGGGATGTGAGAGAAGAGAGAGGCAGAGAGAAAAGAGATAGGGGGTGGGGTGCGATGGGAGTGAGTGAGAGAGAGAGAGGCAGAGAGAAGAGAGAAGATATAGGGGCTAAAATTACTAGAATGTCCATGCCACCTCAGCACACTTAATGGATTTATGGACGGAAATGGTAAAGTGAGAAAATTTCAACAATTTTTAGGGATTTATAGGATAAAGTGAGGAAATCTGAGTTATGGGTGGTTAAGTGAGAGTGAGCTCGAGTTCTAGGAGGTGAAACAGTAAATAAGCCTATTTTTATTAGGAGAGTTTCCAATTCCCACAATAATTAAGAAAAATCTCATATGACGGTTTGTTGTAAAAGTCTTTGGGGGTTTTTCTTTAAAAAAATAATTTATTTTGAAGGTTTATAAGCAAAGTAGTAGAAAATATTTAGTTATACAATTAGGCCCCGCCCCAAACTGAAGAATTTTAGGCATATTAGGGTTGATGGCAGAAAAGCTTGATAATTTTCATTCAATTTTTTATTTTATTTTTTATTTTTATAGAGAAGAAGGGATTTCATTCATAATCCAATAGTTTCATACAAAGATCAACATGAGAACAGTGGCCTCGTTGAAACATTCATAAGAAAATCACGTGGGAAAAATCTAAAGGTAGGAAAGAGTACCACACATGCCATGGACTAACAAAAATATCCAAAACAAAATCAAACAAAGACCATTACAATACACAGAATCAACTACCACACTACTAAAAAAACCAACATAAGAGACCCTGCAGAAGAGCACACCAAACTGTCAAAGAATTCCTTCTATGAGAACAATCATAGTCCTTTGTACATCGCAAGAGTTGTTCAGCATGCTAAGGGTTAGAGATACGAGAAGACACTAAGAAAAGAACACAAAGGAGGCAACAAAGAAGGACCCCACAAAAGCACACTAACTCATCCCAAAACCTGTCAAAGAAAACCTCTTATGATGACAATCATAGTCCTTTGTACATCGCAGGAATTAATCAGGATGCAAAGAGTCAACAATAGGAGAAGAATCGCAACGAGCAAAACAAAGAAGAGAAACTCTCAAGGAGCACATCAACGCTTCCCAAAACTATAAAAAAAAACCTCCTATGAGAAAAACCATAGTTCATTGGACGTCACAAGAGTTGTTGAGTATGCAAAGAGTCGGAAGACAGAAAGAAACACCACAATAAATCTGTAGACTCCAACCTGCAAAACAAAAGAACAAAAAAAAAAAAAACCAAACAAAGCAAAAAGGGAGAGGGGTGAGTAAAAGGAGAGTGGGGTAAAACAAGAGGTGAGGGAAGGAAAAAGGAAGGGGGGAAGAAGGAGGCCGCCAACCCCAAAAGGGGATGGCTGCTAGAAAACCTAACCCTAGGGTTTTTCCTCTTGCTCTCTTTTTGAGGGGACCCAACACGTTAGTTTTTGTTGTTGATTTTCAAAGGAAGTAAAAAGCTATAAAATGTCAAGAACTAACTCAAAATAGTGGGTGAATAACATGAAAAATCATGTATAAAAATGAACCGAACAGACCCAACACGTTAGTTTTTGTTGTTGATTTTCATTCAACACATACAAGCTAGAGTGGACTTTTGCACAAGCCTACTTATGATAAATAACAACCTAGACTATTAATACAAGTCTGTTAGGCTATCAATACAAATAATATTACAATTATTATAAGGGTGTTGCTATTTGGACCACATTTACTAATCATATTGTTGACCACCTCTCTAATACAAATCGGTCCCACATACACTGGTGTGGCCCACCTCTATTAAAGAGGTGGTCTTTAATATGGTCAATAAATGTGGTACAAAAAGCATTATTATGAAGGAAGTTGAGGTTCCACCCCAAAACCAATTGGCAATGGGGGGAGTAGCCCAACTCCTTATAAGCCCTTGCAAGGTTTTCTAACTTTCCAATGTGGGACTCTTTACCTTCACATTCTCACACGCCCCCGCACATGTGGTGAATTTTCAAGCCTATCACGTGGACAACTCATATTGGGTGACGTGGAGCACGTGTGGCCGTTGGGCTTTCACACGTGGGCTAACCTGCTCTGATACCATGAAGGAAGTTGAGGTTCCACCCCAAAACCAATTGGCAATGGGGGGAGTAGCCCAACTCCTTATAAGCCCTTGCAAGGTTTTCTAACTTTCCAATGTGGGACTCTTTACCTTCACATTCTCACACGCCCCCGCACATGTGGTGAATTTTCAAGCCTATCACGTGGACAACTCATATTGGGTGACGTGGAGCACGTGTGGCCGTTGGGCTTTCACACGTGGGCTAACCTGCTCTGATACCATGAAGGAAGTTGAGGTTCCACCCCAAAACCAATTGGCAATGGGGGGAGTAGCCCAACTCCTTATAAGCCCT